TAGGAATTATGCTTTTCTGAGAATTGCATGAGACACGGTGCTCTGTCACCCCCAGCCTCGTTCCAGTTGATGTTACTTGGGTAGGGCTGAGAGGGCCTTGTTTATTGTGGATAGCATCAAGTCTACACCCAGGGTCATGACCAGAGAACTACCCGTTTTGCCCTGGCTCCCTGACCAGAGATTTGTTGGATATGAGAGGCAGCATCTTCCCTCCAACTTCTAGAAAATCTGGTAGAAATGGGATGAGCGTTCAGTGCTCTGTACACCATTTGGCTGATGGCTGGATCCACAATTGTGTAGACCGCAGGAAGATGGTCAAGGGGAGCTGGGCACAGGGAAAGGGCCCTGAGGTTTAGACTCAGGCAACTCTCAACAATGAGCCATGAGCTAAATCTGGAGTCCAGGATTTCAGTCGGACTGTAAGCCAAGAACACACCATGAACAAGAATTCCAGAGTTCCCTGGCAGCCAAGGAAAGTCCCCTGCTGGGAATGACAGGCTCACCCCTCATTTACAATTCTTATCCAAGTATATTTAGGCAGTGCAACCATTTCTGCATCTAACCCATTTCCTGGATCATTTACCACCTTCCAACAGCCTAAAAAATTTTCTCATTTACATTTATTGCTATTATCTATGACTTAACCCCTCAATCCCTGCAGGAGCTCAGCTCCACAAGGCAGGAATCTTTGTTTGGCTCAGTGATGTATCCCAAGTGCTTGGAACAGCACCTGGCATATGGAAGGCATTCTATAAATCTTTTCTGAATAAATGAATAAATGAAATGACACCTTCCCCACCCCACTTCCTGTACCATTTGGCAGAATTAATCATCCTGCCTGTGAATGTCTATAGAACTTTGCTTAAATCTCTAATGCTGTACTAATTACACTATTATAATTACTAATATTAAACTAATATTATAATTTTATCTCCTGTACCTTTTTTTTTTAGACAGAGTCTCCCTCTGTTGCCCAGGCCAGAGTGCAGTGGCACGATCTCAGCTCACTGCAACCTCCATCTTCTGGGTTCAAGCGATTCTCACACCTCAGCCTTCCAAGTAGCTGGGATTATAGGAACATGCTGCCACACCTGGCTAAGTTTTGTATTTTTAGTAGAGACACCATGTTGGCTGGGCTGGTCTCAAATTCCTGACTTCAAGTGATCCACCTGCCTCGGCCTTCCAAAGCACTGGGATTACAGGCATGAGCCACTGCACCTGGCCTGTATCTCTTTTAAGGCAGAAGCCATCAAAGGATCACATTCTCTCTTATATTATCTATGCCTAGCATGAAGTCTGGCTGGGTCCTCAGTGTCTGCTGACTCAGGGGACAATCTTCATATACACAGAGCAAAAAGGACAATAGCCAGGACCCTGGTTATAACCACTGGAAACATCCCTACCCAGCACCAGGGCTGGTGACATAATCTTGAGCTAAGGGGAGTAGGGAGGCAGTGATTTCATAAGACTTCTTTCTAGCCTGAGAAAAATCCAGCAAGAAAAAGTGATTTTAGGTCCCAGAATACGAGGCTGCAGTGAGTGCTCAAAAGAGGGATTATGATAGAAAGTTAATGAAATGTTCATTTCAAAAAAACTTTGCCCAACCCACAGTTTGCAATGCCCACACTTATCCTGGTACCAGTGAGAGCCATCTCCAGGCCCGGGACTGGTAGGCAGGGTAAGCCTGGTGGCCAGAATAGCATATCCATGTCTGATCGTCAAGTGGAGGCAGCCCCACTTACTGGCTCTACTAGAGACTTGCTGGTTATTTTTAACACGGGACCTCACACCTGTGCCCACTCCTCCTCTCCGTTCCTCTGGCCCCGCTCCTAAAAAACCTACTCAACATTCATTCCCCCGGGTTGTATTCAGCCTGTGTGCAGCAGCTCTCTCTCAAATGGAATGTCTTCTCCTTCTGTCTTGTAATCATTCATGCACTCAGCACCTACTGTGCATCCTGTGTTTCCTTCAATTGCTGTCTCCCCCTCCTTTTTTTTGAGATAGAGTCTCGCTATGTTGCCCAGGCTGGAGTGCAGTGGCATGATCTCAGCCCGCTGCAACCTCCGCCTCCCAGGTTCAGGTGATTCTCCTGCCTCAGCCTCCCGAGTAGCTGGGATTACAGGCATGTGTCACCACACCAGGCTAATTTTGTAGTTTTAGTAGAGACGAGTTTTCTCCATGATGGTCAGGCTGGTCTCAAACTCCCGACCGCAGGTGATCAGCCTGCCTTGGCCTCCCAAAGTGCTGGGCTTACAGGTGTGAGCCACCGCGCCTGGCCTGCTTCCCTTTGTAAAGCATAGCTCTTCCAGGAATTACTGAGGTGTAAAAAGATTCTGCTTTGGGAGGCCAAGTTGGGAAGCTGAGGCAGGAGTATTGCTTGAGGCCAGCAGTTCAAGACCAGCCTGGGAAACATTGCGAAAAAGTTAAAAATTGCTGGGCGTGGTGGCACACGCCTGCAGTCCCAGCTACTTGGGAGGCTGAGGTGGGAGGATCAATTGAGCCTGGGAGGTTGAGGCTTCAGTGAACCAGAACTGGAATTGCACCACTGCATTTCAGCCCCAAGGACAGAGCGAGACCTTCTCTGTAAAAAGGAAAACAAGCCAGGCACAGTGGCTAATGCCAATAATCTCAGCACTTTGGCAGAGCAAGGCAGGGGGCGGATCACTTGAGCTCAGGGATTCAAGACAAGTCTAGACAACAAGGTGAATCCCTGTCCCTACAAAACATACAAACAAACCTAGGCCGGGCGCGGTGGCTCAGGCCTGTAATCCCAGCACTTCGGGAGGCCAAGGTGGGTAGATCACGAGGTCAAGAGATCGAGACCATCCTGGTCAACATGGTGAAACCCCGTCTCTACTAAAAATACAAAAACTTAGCTGGGCATGGTGGCACGTACCTGTAATCCCAGCTACTCGGGAGGCTGAGGCAGGAGAATTGCCTGAACCCAGGAGGCAGAGGTTTCGGTGAGCCGAGATCACGCCATTGCACTGCAGCCTAGGTAACACAAACGAAACTCCATCTCAAAAAAAAAAAAAAAACCATACAAAAATCAGCCCAGTGTGGTGGTGAGCACCTGTAGTCCCAGCTACCTGGGAGGCTGAGGTAGGAGGATCACTTGAGCCTGTGAGGTTGAGGCTGCAGTGAGCCGTGACTGCACCACAGCACTCCAGCATAGGGGGACAGAGTGAGATCCTATCTCAAAAAAAAAAAAAAAATTGGGATTCCATAACCTGGGAACGTTGTTACCCCCACAGAGGCAGGGAGTGTGCACACTTTTCAAGCATCAACCAGAGGCAGATCCTGAATAAACCCTGTAGTTTCATGACCTTACACTTTCAATGTGCCTGAAATGCCCTTCCCCTCTGTCCCTAGTTTCCTTTTTTTTGAGACGGAGTTTCGCTCTTGTTACCCAGGCTGGAGTGCAATGGCACGATCTCGGCTCCCTGCAACCTCCGCCTCCTGGGTTCAGGCAATTCTCCTGCCTCAGCCTCCTGAGTAGCTGGGATTACAGGCACGCGCCACCATGCCCAGCTAAGTTTTTATATTTTTAGTAGAGACGGGGTTTCACCATGTTGATCAGGATGGTCTGGATCTCTTGACCTCGTGATCCACCCGCCTCGGCCTCCCAAAGTGCTGGGATTACAGACTTGAGCCACCGCGCCCGGCCGTCCCTAGTTTTCTTAATGATGCGCTTCCTTAAGTTGCTGGTTAACCCCACCTTCTCCAGGCTGACACACGCCTCATACTTTGTGCATTGCATCACGTGTATTGCAACTACTAGCAGATCTGCTTGCCTCAGCAGACGGAGCTCACCCAGCACTGATCATTTGGAAAGAAGGAATGCTCGCCCCATCCCCCTCAAGTTTTCAGATTTGTAGCCTAAGTGAAAGAACAAAGATGTTACTAATGATAACCGTGGCTTACTAAGCCCCTACTATGTGCCAAGTACTATATTTTTTACTTTATCTTATTTTATATTTTTAGACAGGGTCCTGCTCTGTCGCCCAGGCTGGAGTGCAGTGGTGCAATCAAAGCTCACTGCAGCCTTGAACTCTTGGGTTTAAGTGATCCACCTGCCTTAGCTGGGAGGATCCCTAGTAGCTGAGACCACAGTCCCATGCCACCACACCCAGATAATTTTTTATTTTTATTTTTTTAAGTAGAGATAGGGTCTTGCTATTTTGCCCAGGCTGGTCTTGAACTTCTGGGCTCCAGTGATCCTCCTGCCACAGCCTCCCAAAGCACTGGGATTACAGGCATGAGCCACCCATGCCTGGCTTGTGCAAAGTACTTTAAATGAGCACCTCAACAGCACCAACCTGTCTTAAGATGAGGAAACAACGCATCGAGATCAACTAGCTTGTCTATGATCTGAGAGTTGGCAAGTGGGGGCAGTGGGACTTACCCTCTGAGACGCCAACGCCCAGGCTCAGCATCTAGGGCAGCCTCAGGTCACAGACAGGGTTCCCTTAATCCTCTGTGCACAGGGGATGGGGCCATGGTGTCTGGCTAGGATCCCACTCACTCAACCATTCCCATTTATAATAACGCCTCCCACCCTGACCCCTCCCTACCTGCCCACAGGAACCTCCTCTAAATTAAAGATGCATTAGGAATTCCAGGAATCTAAAGGAGACGTGGGGAATTTTTTTTTTTTTCTTAAATCACCCACGGATTAATTTCTTTGGGGCTCTGGGGACAGTAGGACTCTTCTCTGATTGTGGAAACCTTTGGCTCAGGGGCAGCTGTGAGACCACGTGCCTGTCCTGGCTTGGAACTGGGACCTCTCTGGGCAAGATGGGAGGCAAAGGTGGAGGGGAAACAACGCTTGGACTTGAGCTTCAAGAAACTCACAGAGCTGCGCGTGTGTTTCGGGGAGAATGGAAGAGGGGAAAGACAGCAGGAAGCAGGGAAGTGGGAGGGAGTGTGGTCAGGGCAAAAGTGCACCATGGAAGGGGCTGTCTTCAAACCCATGTTTGCATGTGGACTTAGCCGCTGACCAGAAGTGCAACTCGGAGGGGCTTCTGGAGACAGGTCCTCCTAGGGCACCAAATCCTGCTTCTCAAGGCTCTCATGAGGAAGAAAATAATCCAGGTGAGATTGTTCTGTCAATTGCGAATGTCTATTGATATGTTGTCACACTTGGTGCATTTCAAGGAAATCTCTCTCTCTCAACTCTGTAAGCCTCTTCGACAGACAAGGATGCAGCCGTCCTCAGCCCCGATCCCTTCATATCTTAACGGCCGCATCCAGGGCTGTGCATAAAAAGGGGATATTCAGTAATGGAACCTCATCTTGGTGGAGATAAAATCTTAGTGATCAGTGACAACAGAAGGTTGTCCCCAAAGGGTAAATCAAACATTCTTTTCTCCTAAGCAATTTTTTTTAGAGACAAGGTCTCATTCTGCCACCTAGGCTGGAGTGCAGTCATGTCATAGCTCACTGCAGCCTTGACCTTTTGAGCTCAGCCTCCTGAGTAGCTGGCATTACAAGCACGTACCACCATGCCTGGCTAATTTTTATTTTTTGGGGGGAGACAGGGTCTCACTATGTTGCCCAGGCTGGTCTCAAACTCTTAGGCTTAAGCAATCCTCTGGCCTCAACCTCCCAAAGTGCTAGGATTACAGGTGGGAGCCACTGTGCCTGGCCAATTACCGTTCTTTATAAATTACCAGGTCTCAGGTGCTCTTAAAGCAGCACAAACGGACTAGGCAACGGACAGCAGTAAAAACGCGCTTTACCGTGGTACACATACACCATGGAATGCAACGCAGTCAGAGAAAGGAACAAGGTGATGTCCTCTGCAGGGACATGGATAGAGCTGGAAGCCGTTACCCTCAGCAAACTGACACAGGACAGAAAACCAAACACGGCATGTTCTCACTTATAAGTAGGGCCTGAGTGACAAGAACACATGGACACGTGGCAGGGAACACCACACATGGGTTTGTCAGAGGGTAAGGAGGGAGAGCATCAGGAAGAATATCTAGTGGACTCTGGGCTTAACCCCTAGGTGATGGGTTGGTCTGTGCAGCAAACCAGCATGGCACAGGTCACAAACCTGCACATGTACCCCTGAACTTGAAGAAAAAACACACATTTGACGGGGCCAGCCAGTCAAACTTACCTGTGTGAACGCATACATACAACCAAAATCAGTTTCATGAACTAATGCTTCCCTCTCACGTGGAATATACCTGGATGTTTTCTCATCTATTTCACTCTTGTTTTTATTTTTTATTTTTTTGAGATGGAGGCTTACCCTGTCGCCCAGGCTGGAGTGCAGTGGTGTGAACTTGGCTCACTGCAACCTCTGTCTTCTGGGTTCAAGTGATTCTCCTGCCTCAGCCTCCCAAGTAGCTGGGATTACAGGTGCGTGCTGCCTCGCCCGGCTCATTTTTGTATTTTTAGTAGAGACAGGTTTCACCTTGTTGGCCAGGCTGGCCTCAAACTCCTGACTTCAGGTGATCTGCCTGTCTTGGCCTGGAAAAGTGCTGGGATTATAAGCATGAGCCCCTGCACGCCTGGCCTATTTCACTTTTTTCAAATGCTGGCTGCAACCCCCTAAATGGATTTTGTGGCCCAGGGCTGAAAACGGTGCTGTTTGCTGGGCGGGTCACCCATCAGTCTTTGGCATCATTTTGCACACGGATCTCTCCAGCGGGACATTTAACTTCTACGACGTTCCTCCAGCCCAGCAAACACATGTGACTCCAGCAGCAACGGGTTGACCAGAAGTCTTTTCTCCTCCACCATCAATATCATCTATTCAGGGCATCTGAAATCCTTTCTCTCCACCCCTCCCATCTGCCTGCCGGGTGAGTCGGGTGTCTTACATTTGAGGAAGCAGTCAGATTCACGAAGAAACTCCTAAATTTGAAAAACAGCCATCGGGCTACAGGGAGCAGGGCACAGTGGCTCACGCCTGTAATCCCAGCACTTCGGGAGGCTGAAGTGGGAGGATGGCTTGCGCTCAAGAGTTCTAGACCAGACTGGGCAACATATCGAAACCTTGTCTCTACTAAAAATAAAAAAAAGCAGTCAAGCATGGTGGTGGTACCTGCCTGATGTCCCAGTTACTTGGGAGGCTGAGATTGGGAGGATTACTTGAGCCTAGGAGCTCGAGGCTGCAGTAAGCTATGATCGCACCACTGCACTGCAGCCTGGACAACAGAGTGAGACCCTGTCTCTAAAAAAAATCAACAAAAACAGATATAGGGGACTGACGAGGCTCAGAGTAAGTCTTCTTCCCCAGCGGACCCAGAGGCCAAAGACCCAGCCCTTACCTCATCTTCTGAAATTAACTTGTATCCACTCTACAATCTAGTCTCCAAATCTTTTTCCTCACCTTGTATTTATTTTATCACTATAATGCATATATTGTCAGAGAACTGGATACAGGACCTGGGTCTACCCCTGATATGGAATAACAGATGTCGATTTTCTGAACTCACTTTCTTGTCTACAAAACGTGGCTAATCGTTTCTGCCCTGCCTTCCTCATGGGGTTGCAGTGATAACAAGTGTAAAAATGCTTTGTATAGGCCAGGTGTGGTGGCTCATGCCTGTAATCCCGGCACTTTGGGATGCTAAGGCAGGAGGGTCGCTGGAGGCCAGGAGTTCAAGACCAGCCTGAGCAACACAGAAAACCCGTCTCTACAAAAAATAAATAAATAAATCAAAATTAGCCCCACTTGATGGCTCATGTCTGCGGTCCCAGCTACTCGGGAGGCTGAGGTGGGATGATGGCTTTGACCCCAGGAGTTCGAGGCTACAGTCAGCTACAATCGTGCCACTGCGATCCAGGCTAGGTGACAGAGTGAGACCCCGTCTCTAAAAAAAACAAAAGGAAAAAAAAATGCCTTGTATGCTGTAAAGCACCACACAAATATAAATTGTTATATAAACTGTATGTTCTTTGGTAATAATTGATAGTGTTGACTCTGTTTCCCAAATTACAGTCCTGTGCATTCTCTGTGTTTAGCGAAAGGCACAGCCTCCATCATCATCCCCGAAAAGGTGTCTGTACTCTATTCCTGAGTGCAGGGTTAAACCTGCTCTCCCTTAGGCAGCTATCTGATGTCATCAAAAATTCATGGGCCGCATGACCCACTGTCTCCAGTTGATAACCAGGCCTGGGAGAATTGGTCCCAAGAGCTGTCTGAAAGACCGCCTGTGCCCAGCTCTTCAGGCCAATCAAAAAAGTAAAGCATGAAAGGGAAATCAAGAGTCACCTTTGGCCCAGATGAGACGAGAGATCTTTGTCAGAACAGCCCCCAGGCCTATGGAAGACTTACTACTCCAGCTTCTGTGCCTTCAACGTTGTCTTTCCAACCTTCTCTTTTGTTATGTTCATTTTACAGATGAAGGTAAGCAGTTACAGAAGAAACTTGCTCGAAATCATGCAGGGACACAGCGTGCCGAGGTTCACACCTGTAATCCCAGCACTTTGGGAGGCTTAGGCAGGGAAATTGCTTGAGCCCAGGAGTTTGACACCAGCCTGGGCAACATGGCAAAACTCCGTCTCTGCAAAAAATACAAAAATTAGCCAGGTTATGGTGGTGCACGCCTGCTATCCCAGCTAGCCAGGAGGCTGAGGTGAAGAGGATTGCTTGCACCTGGGAGGCGGAGGTTGCAATGAGCTGAGACTGCACTACTGCACTCCAGCCTGGGCAACAGAGCAAGACCCTGTCTCAAAAAAAAAAAAAAAATCATGCAGAGGTCCAGGTGTGGTGGCTTAGGTCTGTAATTCCAACACTTTGGGAGGCTGAGTCAGGTGGATTACTTGGGCCCAGGAGTTCAAGACCAATCTGGCCAACATGGTGAAACTCTCTCTCTACTAAAAATACAAAAATTAGCTGCACATGGTGGTGCACACCTGTAGTCCCAGCTACTATCGAGGCTGAGGCACAAGAATGGCCCGAACCCAGGAGGTGGAAGTTGCAGTGAGCCGAGATTGTGCCACTGCACTCCAGCCAACAGAGTGAGACTCTGTCTAAAAAAAATAGAAATAAAAATCACAGAGTCTAGTAAACTATAATCTGCTTTCTCTTACTCTGCATAAGCAAGAGAAAGACTGACACTCCAAGGCTGGCACTGACGTCTGTCGAGGATGTCCCTGAAAGGCTGCATTTGAGGTCAAGCCTGCATCCAGAGGCCCCCAGAGCGAGGACTGCAAACCAGAGATGGGAGTCTAAAGGCCAGAGCACAAAGTACTTTTGGCCTCTTGCAGGACTGGAAAGCAGACGGCAATTCCCCAGGGTGGGTAAGGCTCTTCTTGCTACACAGTCCCAGGTCTGTGCTCTTTACAAAGAGCTGTGGACAATTGTTTCTGGACTGGGCGCTTGGCTGCTCAATGATTAATGAGAATCTAATATCACTTTTGTTTGGACCCCAAGCTAAAAGAGGAAAGAGGCAATAGATGCACCTCCCCAGGGCTCAGAATTCTCCAGAGGTTTCCCAGTGCTTACAGGCCAGAGTCAGAACGCCCTGGTGGGCATTCGAGGCCTTGCTGGTCTGGCCCCAAACAACCATCTCAATGTTTCCTGATCTCAATAATCTCTGAACCAGCCAAATGTCTTCAGCCTCACCCAGTGGGCTCTGCCCACCCTCTTCCTGCGATTCTCCCAACAGGCAACGCCTACTCCACCCAACGTCCAAGGGCCAACTGAGGTCTTGGTCTTCCTTCTGAACTCTGCACTCCAGTCCCCTCTCAGACGCCCATGGTCCTCAAAGCTTTGGCCTTCTGCTCCAGGCCTGCATTGATAGCTGACTGCTGAGTTGCCCTGTGTCTCTCTGGATCCTTCACTTTCATGCTAAGGGCCCTGAGAAGCAGGGAGGGAGGCCTCCAATGATGTTTCTTTGTGTTCTTTGCCTAGCACTTGCTACAGAAATCATGGGAATTAAATAAATGCTGTTGAATTAATGAGGGATGAATGGACAGAGGTCCCTGAGCCCTATAAGCTGGTCCTTGCAAGCCAAGCTTTACAGGGAACTTAAGTGCAGGGCTGGGAGGATGCTTAGGGGTGATTTGGTTTAGTGGGCAATGGGGTGGAGCTTCAAAGATTCAGATCCCCCTAATCATAGCCCAGAGAGGTAACTCTTCTGGTCTTGCTCAGACACCTCTAGGAAAGAACTGTTGCTTCATTTCTACATCTCCACCCCCATAGCTGCAGAGAGCATTTTCTTTTTTTGAGAGGGAGTTCTAATACATGCCCAAAGCAAGGTTTCATGGCAGACAGACAGGGAATGCTGGTCCAGCCTCCGTCCAACCATGGACAGATAGATATGTCTCTCCAAATAAACAGGGGAACCCATAAAGCCCCTCACCCAGCCCCCAGCCCCAGGGGTCGTGCTCAGTCTGAGACTGATGCAGGCCGTAGAAGAGGACCCTCACTTGTCATCGGCCCCCATCCCATTGTCTCCTAGCCAAGACAGAGTGCCAAAGGCCAGTGCTGGGCAGAGGACCAACCTCCCTTGGTTGCCTCCAAAGGGCACCCTCTGGGGAAAAGTAATGTAATTCTGAACAAGAGAAACTTAAATTCTAGTACCTTCTCATCTCTAAAGGGCAGACCCGAACCCTCTCCCCTCCCCCCACCGCCCAAACACACACACAGACACAGCCCCAACAGCTC